CATTGCTGTGTCCACAAATAACATCTTGGCTATAACTGTGCCTGTGAGAGGAAGAAACTGCTAGAACTTTAAGCATTTTTTCTTTTCTTCTCCATTTGGGATGCTTTAGCTGCTCTTTAGCAGAATGAAACACAAAGCGGCTCCCCCCAGCTCGCCTGCAGTTCCCAAGGAAGCGGCACCACCGGCTCCGCTACAAGGCTGGCCAAAACCAGGAGCAGGTCACACACCACAGGGCCAAGGACGTGCCCAGGCTCTTCTCGAGCCCTTACCCAGGGGAGCCACTGCACCAAGGCAGATGCTGTGCAAGCCAAGCCAGGCGTCTGTGTCCGAGAGACCAGACATGAAACTCTGGGATCTAAAGCAAGAACAGGAACCTTTTGAAAGGCTGGCGAGAGGCCATCTCGGGAGCAGCAGCACTGCAGTGTTGACCTAAGATGTTTGTACGACCCTACGTAGCCTCTGCAATTTTCTTAGTGCTGTTTCAGCTAGCAGCCTTGCAGCCAAAGCACAACAGCTCTGCCCAGCTGGGCCCGTGCAGGCTCACAGCAGCGGCACGCAGGGAATCTTTGATATCGGAACAAGTCTGGCATCTCTTGAGCTTTACTAATCCAAAATACAGCACACATCAGCTCAGAAAAGCCAGAGATGAGATCTCCTTTCCCAAAGGAGAAAAAAAAAAAACTAGGCAAACTAAAGTTATGAAAGGAAAACTATACAACGACAGCAGCATCACAAGCCAGATTCACCCCAGGAACAGAGACACACAGTGAAGCCCCTTTTTGGCATGCCAGTAGCACAGCCAGCGTCCACCTAACATTACGTCAGTCCTACACTCGGGTGTTTTCATGGAAATGAGGCAAAAGTGGCATTTAATGAAGTGTGCTGGTTTCCTTTGTGGGAGGAAAAAAATCCCCATTGTCCAAGTTATATCACAATGGGGCCGTTGTTCCCAAACAGATACATCCACCATTTCATGTGGGTAATTGGAAAACTAAAAAATTCAGTGCTCTTCTCCACCAGATAAGTTTTGAATTCCTATAGAAACTAAAATCCACGTTCACTGCCTTTGAAGGCAAAGTCGGTAACATTTAGAAGAAAACATTAACAGATGGTGATAGCACATAGTTTTCTGGTGATACATGCTGGATCACAGTATACACAGCAAGGTACAAAACAATATACAAACTGCAAATCATGACTTAGGGAACATGCAAACAACGTGTAACACCACAACAGCTAGGAAACACAGTCTAAATAGCTTAAATGAAAGTAAAACACAGACTTACAGATTTCCCCATTCTCTACATGGAAGAGAAACAAACATGTATGAAGTGATTTTTATGCTATCAGGCATATTTTTAACGCAGCAATATTATTACATTGTACAGGAAAACACTCTATATCCACATCCTATTCATTTACAATTGTTTAAAAATACCATCTGGAATAACCCTACACCTCATATGATTCTGATAAAGCAGCAATAGGAAGTGCTTCCCAGACATCACCATTCAGCCCGGAACAAGACAAAGTTGTGCCCTAACAGGGCAATCAAGATCTCCCTCAACCCTAAATGTACTTGAAAAATCTTACGTCTGCTATCTGCAAGTCCTATCTGTTTTAGGGTAAGCATGGTTTAATATGCTAGGTCTTTGCTGCCATCCACAGTTTTGCTGTGGGCACAGGCAGACAAGCCCTCAGCCACACTTTGAACTCCCATCTTCTTCCTGGATTCAGGAGAGATGTGTGTACCTGTGTGCACGCCACTGAGGCACGTAGAAGGAAACAGGCTGATGTCCTTCTGTCGTTACACTTGTGTGTCCACGACATCAAGCTCGGCACAAACATGCCTGCCAGCCCAACAGTAATGGCATTTTATTGCCTTCTCTTTATTGCTCTGCGGCGTAGAGCACTTCCCACGGCATGGGAGGATGGAAGAGATGAAGCATGGACACGCACACTAGTCACCTATGTATGGAATTTCACCAGGGGGTTTTGGATAGCCAGAGGAATACACATGACAGTTTTGGCCATATGAATATGGTCCTGCTAAGGAGTATATTTAGAGTCTCTTATCCACTAAGTGCCTTCAGGGTGGTGGTGCTTTTCAGTCCTTACAAGGACAGCATTAAGTGCACAGAAAGATCATGTTTCTGCTGTGCTTTAAATAACCAAAACACCAACTTAAAAAAAAAAAAAAAAAAAAAAAAAAAAAAAAAAAAAACAACCACACACACACACAACCACCACACCACAACCAAACAAAAACTCTCAACCACCACATGGATGGATACTTACGGCTTCATGTTGAAAATATCTTTATAACCGGACAGATTTGTTTCTTTGTTTTTATGTTTTTCAGCTACAAACTTTTCTTTAGTCCAAGTCATTTGCACTTTTTCTGGGGCAGCAGCAGCCACATTTGCTTTCACAGCTGGAGCCGAGTGGGACGCAGTGTTTCTGTCATGGATTAACTGAGCCTAGCCAGAGGGGAGACAAACGAAGGACCCAAGATTCAGCCTACGAGTGTTGGCAGATCAGAAATTCTCATCTCGAAATGCAATGTCACTGCAGTGACACCAAAGAAAATAAAGAAAAAAGGACCTTATTTTGTGAACAAATACCAGACTGTTTTGGCTTTGATGCAAAGTGAAACTGCTCGTATATGTAGTTATTAGTTTATACTTGCAGAATTACATCTAGAATAGGACATCATTTTCTTAAGAAGCTAAAGTGAGGTGAGTTATTAACACCAGGAGCTTATGGCAATGAGCAAACTGAAAGCCATTGCTCATTTTCCCTCAGGTTTTCCAACAGTTACACTGTTTATAACTTGCTCTGACACTGGTGTAAACATCATCATTGAAAAAGTTCATGTGCCATGGTCGGGGCTTGCTCCAGCTTTCTTGCTCCCTCTGCAATGTAGATTGTTTCTGCATCCAAATGCAGATTGGGTAACAAAAGCCAGCCACAGCCTTACCACAAAGCAGACTTGCTTTCCTCTCTTCCCTTTTAATAGCAATAATTCAACAAGCCACACTTGCAGAAAAAACATATTATTGTTCCCAGATGCATAATCACTTCTGTGTTTGCCATTCCCCACTCCCCCTTGTTCCTCTTAAGAAAGGAGTTTTTCTCAAAAAACTTTCCCTCTTAACACTATGCTTATCTTTTTCATTATTTTCAAGAGAAATAAACAGCACAAGTAATACCTTACTGTCCATCATGAAGAGTAAGTGAGCCAGTAATTGTGTGGGGTTTTGGAAACATTTAGCGGGTGGTTATGAAGTGTCTGCAGGGAGATGCATGACATTCATTGATTTCCCTAGCCCCCACAGGAACCTATTCATATTCAGAGGAGGGGAGAGGGTCACGTCCCTCCAGACACACGATGACTCAGAGGACTGGATTCTGTTGTCACACAAAAGCATGAACAAAACTGAAGCAGAGGAAGAAGCTACTTGTGTTTTCTAAACACTAGTGCATTTCCCAGTTACTACAGTAACTGTTTTTTTTTTTTTTTTTTAAATCTACCTAAGGACTGCCGTCTTTTTCTATATTCTTCTTGTCATTAACCAAATATTGAGGATTCTCAAATCCCAGAGTTCACTGTGTTTTTACACACGAAATTATTCATCGAGACCCAGAACTCAAAGTTACTGTGAATGCAGTCGCTACTATGAGACAGGGAAGGGTTACCAGACAGGGCAGGCACTATGCACACTAAACAGTAGCCCACGAATTACAACTTCCAACTAGCAACTACAAGGTAAATGCAGTACAGTGTGCTTTGCAGAAAGACAACCTCCATTTCTAAAAAGACAACAAGGCCAAGAGAAACTCTGGACCTACAGCACATGCTTAAAATGCAAAACAATGAAAGCATTTTTTGTTAATTTGCTGTCACAATAGTACTAATTATATGGAAAACATCACATTCCTCTCCTATTTCCTAAAGGAGGGGAAACAAGAGAATACAGTGTTTCTACAAACTAAAACACACATCTTCAGAGAGGAGCAACACTTGAAGTGCACGCTAAAGGCCTTGATTACACGTGTCCATTCCCTTTCCAGCACACTGTGCAGGAAAAAATAGTGGCACTTATGAGGTAATAACGGCTTCTCAAGAGGCAGCCAATTCTTGTCTTCTCTAATTTAATAAATAAGTCTTCACATATTGATGCAGTCTGAGAAGCTTCAGTTCTTCAGTACAGGAACTCTAAGGAAGTGCTCTGTGAAAGCATAAAAATATGCTCTCAACCAAACACTTCCTATCCAAAACATTAAGAAACAGGGCCAGCATCTTTACTTCTAATATTCGGAGTTAAAGAGTGACTCTGAAAATAGGCACTCTCTGAGAACCCAAATCTTTCTCTTAGAGGATACTGGGTCTGAGAGAAATTAGGATGCAATTGATGCTACCGAAACAATCCAGGACAAAAAAAGTTAGCGTGATATCACGGATTTAGGGCATAATAAAATTAAAGATTAAGGATAGTTTCATAACAAAAATGAAAAAAACCAACAAAAACAGGTTGTTGTGCCATAGTTCATTTTGCAACGGGGGCACTTCAAGTGTTACAATGAAAAAGAACCATCTAGTCAGTACTATGTCCTACTACCTCGTCCTCTGCATAATCATTAGGTAGCAGTGCCTGTACGTCCTGGCCAATGGACTGTGGACTAGAGTAGCTTTTCCTTCTGATTGAGCCTCGAGACTCATCAGTGATGCTCTGAATCTGGGATAAAAAGGTTACCAGTGACAAAAACAGTCTACAGAAAAGAGTAGATTGTGTTATTCAAAATCAAAATTATTTAATGGATAACATTTGCAGTCAAGGGTTTTTGTAAGTCTAGTTACTTTTGAGAAAGCTTTATTGATACCTGCACATCCCCATGCATTGATGGATTTCTTTTTAAAAGTGAATTTTCAGCTTCCAACCAGAACAGTAACAGGCCAATTATTTAAAGTGGAGAAAAATCTTTTCCGTTATGGAACATGCATGTAAAAAAAGCCTAAATTCCCTTAAAACTTAATAATCTGTTTTACTGAATTCAGAGAGATAAATACATAAAATCCAAGACAAGTCTCAGCACAAGGAGTTAAGATGGCTTGACTAATCCTCCCTTTCTTCTTCTCATGAATGAGAACCAACATGCTACAGTATCCTCAAAGAGCAGCCTCCAAAAATGGTGGCATTAGACAGACTTTAAACAGTTCTCTTCCTCCACTCATGTTGCTTTCAAAGCTACCATCTGCATTTGAACAGAAGAGTGAAAGGTCTTCCCCTCTTTTCACTCAATTCTCTCCATGTTCTATCACTGGAATTCTTTACTTTTCTACTGACATTTTCATCTCAAGAAACTTTTTCAGCATATTTTCTATTGATAACAGGAACCAATACTACATAAACCAATTTGAAGAATTAACCCTAACTCTGATTCTTATTACCTCTTTTGCTAGTCTGTCACTGCATTTATGAATGTATTGGTACTGAAAATACAGTTATGGTATAATTAAATACCATCTGCAACCACTGGACACTTAGTACAGAAAATTACTGCAATCTAACAAGTGGCCAAAGACCTAGGAAAAAACCTTAGGCCGAAGACTTGAGAAAACACCATTTCCAGCGAGTGTAAGTCTTGACTATACACTGCAAAACTGAAGGAAGATTTAAAGGAAAAAGAATGGTAAATAACCATTCTGAATAATCCCTAGAAGGACAGGCAATTAATTAGATTGAGTTAAAAGGAAAAGACTAGTGCTTCAACTAGACCAAGAACAAAGCCCATGCACAAAACTCATGTGCAAAGGGATTTTATTTAGTTCTGCTGTATATATTAAATATATATACTAAAATATTAAATTATATTTAACATTTATATATATTTTAATGTATTTAGTATATTGTAAATATGCTAAAACCATTCTGCAGGAATTCTACCATGTGTTGTAAGTGCAACAGAGAGAAACAAGTAAAATCAAATATAACAAGATCTTCCAATATTCCATGTCCTTCCACTACTTAACTACCAATCTGTAACTTTCTCCTTTGATGTTAATTCAATAGAAGTTTTGACTTCCCACCCAAAATACCACCTCTTAAAAGTGGCAGGATTTCCTGTTTTCCAAATCACACTGTTCAATCTGCCCATAGCCGCTCCCATACAGAGCCTTGTGCTCCCTTGGTGGCTCGACCAGGGACAAGCACACAAGATGAAGACAGTATTTTTATAAAAAGATGGTATCAGGAAAGAGCAAAGTTATAACCACCCTTAGAGAAGCAGCAGGAGTTGGAACATGAGAGTCGTCAGTGAACATCTGGAGAGAGGTGGACACAGGCATCCAGAGAATGAAAACAAAAGCAATAACAGTTTACACTGTGGTACGAAGGAGAATAAAGTTTTAGATGTTATCATAAAACTGGCAGGGGTCTAGGCTGGCACAGTTCTCAAAGGATGAAAAGATTTTTATTTAAGAGATGCATAGCAAACTAAGTACATACTCAATTTGAAGCTCAGAAGAAAGTGAGAAGTCTAACTGGTCAACATTTCCTGATGAAAGCAGAAAAGAACAAGGGAAACTTCAGAGGGAAGAAGTGGATATTGCCCTTTATTTGGGCAGAAGAATGTACAACAAAAAAGATCTGGTGATTTCAGGGCAAGTGAAATTAATTTTATTTTTTTACATCATAATGTAAATTCAGTGCTGTTTTGGACACCTTTGATTTCATCTTGCCTGGTAGCAAGGAGCAAGTCAAAGCTGTAACAGTGATAGCTACATTCAGAGAAAAGTGATTAAACAAAACTATAATTCAAAAGAAAGGAAGAAAGGAGTGAGAGCTTCCAAACAGCACTCTTGAAGAGCATCCCAACTGAGAGGTGAGAAACATTTCAGTGGAGGAAAAAAAAAATTCTACCCTGTGGACTACTAAACCTTCCAGTGCCCTTAGGCTACTTAAAAGATTCATGAGTTAATTAAGCCTTGCAAAGTAATTAAAAAGAAAGCCAAAAAGAAAAAAAAAAAATATATATATATATATATCTCTCACTGTAGAGTGACCGTTACCCTAGCTCCACTGGAAAACTGAGGAGTGTATTCAAAAATTCAGGGGAAAAAATGAAAAATTAGGAAAAAATAAGAATCAGCTTTCTTGTTCTTGCTTAATATGCTAAGATCAAAAGACAACTACCAGACAGACAAGAAAGGAAGGAGAATGTAGAGCATAAGTCTCTTATAGAAGTATTGCACATCTTTAGCCTTTTTTATCTTGTAGGATTTTTTTTTAAAGACTCCTAAAGAAGGGATAAAAACCAAAACAAATTGTACGACTATGTAGGACTAAACATCAAAAAGGCTTTTGCATTAAATGAGTTGCAGCTTAATGAATGAACAGTTAAACACAGAACACACAAGGGAGAAAAATTGTGTGATCTAGTAAATTAAAGCTAATGTAGAGAAAGTGACATAGAATGCTGTTTTAAAATATTTTATCGAGTAGTTAGAAATTTTTAGAAGCCAAGGACTATTATTTTCTGATTTTTCACAAAACACCTTACCAGTATGAATTCCTTACCTCTCTTTCTCTTTCATTCTTTGATAGTTGCATCTGCTTTAACATCTGAGATCGCTGCTCCATCACAAGTGTCTTCTCATACGTGAATGCAGAAATATCATTTTCAAACTGCAAAAGTGATTCATATTAAGAACATTAGTCAAACTGTACCAACATTTAGACAATGCCCCCCATTCACTCAGTCTGCATTCATTTATGGCATCAGAGTCATCCCAAGCCTGTATTCGACTTTTTGGTCTTGAGCCTTTTGAGCCTTCCCCTTCAAAGGGTACTCTGCTGCTCTACCAACATTCATGCAATATCAGTTAAACAGAAGGTACCAGGGCTGAACTCTTCTGTGGTCTGCCCCAAACCAGACAGAACCATAAAGGGACAGAGGCCTTTGTCTGCACTGTTGGCTCCAGGGCACGTGCACCCTTGTGTCTTTAGAAGAGTCAAGAGCAATAAAATAATGATTTCACCAATAACAGCATTTATGAAAAAAATCCTGCTTATAGCCCCACCTAAATATTAAAAGCTAAAATACAGAGGTAACCAGCTATAGGAGTCATCTATGCTGTCAATGATGCTTAGTTTCTCTGTTCTTTGGAAGATTCTCAGGGATAAACACACTCCACATAAGCATCAACTGTGCTTCCTAAACTGACTCTATCTTAAAACCCAACCAAACCTGGACCTCTCTTGCGGCAGTCTGACCATTTTCTCTTTCACCTACGTATGTCTTAAAAAACCACAACACGTGCAAGTCACTTCTGGCAGTTTAAGTGATTCTTCAAACAATCTTTGCTTTATGCCCACTTAGCATGATAAATCTCAGAGGTCATGCGGCTCATAAGCTTTTTGCATTCTGGAAGGAACAAAACTCAGCTTCTTCATCATCCCACTTTGGAACAAGCACTAATAAGGTGCCTAATCTGCCTTTGGATATCATGCTGGTCAACTTGCGAGAGCCAGAAAGGAAGTTCTCCCTGTGCCACCAAAGGGGCCTGGATACCACCACCCCTCTTTTCAGCAGTTTAGGTCAGTTAGCAAAAAGCTGTAAAATTTACTTTGTCACAACATGGAACGTGACGCATGCAAATAAACTTTCACTAACAAGCATCTAGCTTCCATAAACCAGAACTGGAAAAAAAAAGAAGAAATATCTTCTAAAGGGCAGGATTGGAAGTGAACATCATGTTTTTTGATATAAGCTCATATCCCTTGTTCCCCCCCGTCATTCCTTCCATGTTGTCCAAAGACAGATGAGGTACCAAACCCATGGAGTTGGAAGTTGGCAGTATCCCTATTCCAGATACAATAAGTTACAAGTAAATGAAACACTCCTGGATGAATTATAACTAAAGAATTCACTAATGTATAACTTTTTAAACCTGTGACTATTATACAGCATTACTGCCACTTGTCTTTCCTCTTTATTATTGCTAGAACAATTCAGATGGCAAATAATTCTACCTGAAAAAAGCAAAATCAAGTAAGAGATTCTAAACAGGAGAAATACTCTACAGTTTTATACTCCTAATGCTTGTTGTTTTATAAGACCCACTGGAGAATAGTGTTCACTCATTGTTTGTATGCAGTCTTACAGGCTACTCCAAAGGATCCTTCTATGCACTATACAACTCTCAAGCTGATGATGGATACCTATAAAAATGGTACTGTAGAACGTCTCTTTTCAGTTTTTGCTTTATCTGGAACAGCAGAACCTGTGGCTGTTTTCCTGCTGTTCAGTGCCAAAGGGAGTGGCGATGTCAAGGTATGCAGCATAGTAAGAAAATAAAAGTCAAGCCTTTTCCTTCCTGATTTTTTTTAAAGCAGTCAGGCCCCTGAAATGAAAGGTTACTTCATCTAATAATCCCTGTCATCCTGTATGAGGAAGGACGGGAAGTGAATGTCCCCCTCTCCAACTGCAGCTTGAGCATCCCTAAATTAAGGGAACTCTAAGACCACATGGGAATATCTCCAGGGACTAAGTCCTCACAGATAAAGACTAATACTCAAGTACTGCTCAAAACTACCAAAATCCTATTAAAACCTACTACTACCATGAACACTAGGCACTGTGACACAGTTGGGAAAAAAATGTTGCTCTTAAAGGCATTTTGTTTTGTGTGTTTTTGGGAAGCTACATTTATCCTTTTGAAACTAGTAACATAAGTCCAAATATAAAATTGAAGAGACTGTAGCCTGATCCAGTTTCCCAAATTTAGTCTCAGTCAAAGCCTCAAAATGCAGTTACATACCATTTCAACAACTTCCACTTCAGCATTCAGTCGAAGGTGATACAAGAACATCTGTAGATCCTTCTTCATTTGAATGCTATTATCATCCATTTGAGCTACAGTAAATATGCGCATTTTACATTTCCTCCAAACCTATGAAAAGATTTAGCAACTTAACACAATTGCTGTTCACCATACATAACTATCAACATGAAAAGTACTTTGAATTATTAGTTCAAGTAAATGAAATCCCAGCCACTTTCTGTTGTCCTTGCCTTGTGCTGTCGAAGAAGAAAAGGCAGCAACATCAGCATGCCACCATCATGAACAATCCACCACACATCGATGTTTCCATCAGTGAAACGTTCTTGATTTGTTGGAAACAAGTCAATGTTTTTAGCAACCAACAGAGCTTGCTGAGCTGCTGTTGTTTCTCGTACAGTGTCTGCAACAGAAAACAAGACATTAGATAAAGAGCTTCATTTAGTGGTTTGATAAAAGACAGTAGTAAGAAGAGTTTAAAAACTCAAATCCTGACAGATTATGCCCTGGCGGAAAAAGGACATCTAGGGTTTAATGACTAATCTGCTTAGGAGAACAAAAAAAGTAAGAGTTGAACAGAAAGATGCTTTTTAAACAAACAGGAACAATAAAAGTAAATGACAATAAGTAGTAGAGGGGAGCTAGACACATGAAGGAAAATAGTGTGGCCTGCACAGATTATAAATAGAGGATTGCTCAGCAATTATGCAATCCTGGTATTTGGTGCAACGGGGAGAGAAGAGAATATTATGCACAGTAAACAGTTTTATTCTGCATCTAGAAAAAAGACAAGCAATATTTCAACTGTGTATAAAGGTAGATACTAGAAGAGAACCTATTTAAAGTTAGGGATAAATCTGTTATTTCTAAATGTGCAAGTAGTTCATGCCTACAACACTTCTAAAATGGCCATGAGCTCACTAATATTTATTTGCAATAATCTTTGAATATTCAAAAGCTTTGAATGAAATTAATTGTTCCAAAGTTATCCAGTCTTTCACTTGACTTTTGCTGGGAAATCTCAGTGATTACCTGCAACCCACTATCTTGGGAAAGAAATTGTGAGAAAACAGCTAAATATCATAATAAGCTACCAAAGAAATGATTTACACTCTTCAAAAGATTTGGGGGAGAGGGAAGGGAGGTGCAAGTGGGGACACAATATCACATCCTCACTAGAGACAGGCATCTTTCTAAAAGAAAAGTTTTAGCTTTAGAGCAACATAAAATTAGAGTCCAGTACAAGGGGAAGAGAATTAAACTACAACTGGCATTACCAACTTCATATTGTTCAGCTTGTAATAGCTGCAGCTTTTTATAGAAAACCAAAATATTTGGAAGGAAAACTAACAAAACCAGATGGTAGCTTAATTTTGTTTCTGGAGGATGAGAGAATAGTTTAAATGAACTAAGGTGCCCCTAAACTAGATCAAAACTGCAGAACTAAAGTCCTAGAAAGGAGTAATGACCCATGTAGATGCCTTGACATGAAACACTCCAGATGTTAAAAGAGCAGACAGGTTAGAAAGCCACAAAAGAATCCTGGGCTGAGAAAATCCATTCCATATGAAATCAGGCAAGTGACCCAGGAAGCAGAAAAAATAAAATAGTTGTTCTGCATCACATATCTAACACAGGAGATACATTAATTACATTTACATTGTCTTGCAATTGCACAAGAGAGCCATCATATACATACCAACAAAGTTCTTCCAAGAGAAATAGTTTTCTGTCTGCTTCCACGACTGTGGCCATGCCATCAGGACTGTATTGTGCTTCATCCCCCCTAGGCCAGCCGACTGAATCAAATGGGATATTCCATCTCTGCAACTTGGAGAAACCACAATCTGGCAAAATCCTTTTGTTTTTTCTATTCCCATTAAAGCTTTAACATTCTGTTGGAAAGGAATATTACACATAGACAAATGCAGTCAACACTCGTGATAACTATTACAGGGAAAAGCAGCACTAAATACCAGCAAAGTATTAAATACAGTGTGTAACCAACAGCAAGCAAACACTAAATCCAGAGACATACATATATGTATTTTTTAATCAGAGAGTCCACACAACCCACAAGAGTAGGTTTTTAATCACATTAGATATGCGGCCCTTTATTCCCAGAGAAGGATGAACATGATACAAATACGCTGACATTGACAAAGATAAATAAAGCAGCACTGCTTCAGGGGAGGCGCAGCCAAAGCTTTCCTGACTGATAAAGCACCACCTTGAGTAATGACAATATTTGCTGAAAATTGTCCTTCAATTTTCCTTCCCCTTCCAACTGCAAAAAGTGGGGCCAAGGACTTTTAAGACTTGAGGCAAAAGCTCCTAAACAATTTTTGATATTTATACTGTGTGTGTGTGTTTTATTAATTTAATACTTTCTTTTGAATTATGCTTTGGAGGGGTAATAGGAAACATTTCCTGTTTGATCGCATAGCTTCAAAATGTCTCTCCCTCTGACTTTCTTTAAATATAAAAAATATATATATATATGTATTTAGAAACAATTTGTAACTTCAGTGCTTTCCCCCAACCTTGCTACCACACCAACCTCCCAGAGACTCATTGAAAAAGATGGTATTTTCAGACTCAAACTAACCTTCGCCTAGGGAAGAAAACAGTAAAACTAAGGGCACAGAATCACTCAATTTGTTCATCCAGTTCATAGCTACATCAAAAAGGAAGAGGACACTGAGGACTGAAACATAATCAACCCTGAAGCGCTTTTCCTGTTTCTGGAGGGGCAGCTCCTTTTGCCCGCGATCGGTGACAAGTTATTCGCAAACAGGCAGCCTGTTGCGACGGTCTCCTCTTACCAGCCCTGCCAACTCTTGCTCCCTTTTCATGGCCAGATTCAGAGCCACAAGGGCCCACGATGCGGCCACACCGCGCTGTGGGCCTTGCCAGTGACTGCCAAGGGAAGCCAGGTGACTCCCTGGCCTCGGCTCCAGCGCCCAACAGCGCCAGGGAGCTAAGGACAACTGCAAGGCCCATCCACAGCCTGCAAGGGCAGCCTGGCTGGCTTTCTACCGGAGTCTCACCACCCTGGGAAGATGGAGAAAGGAGACCTTACAAGGAAAAACAAGTTTAATTCTCTATTAAAGAGTTACTCCTATACTGGAGTAAATAAATAATAATAATATATATAAAAGACACAAGTCATTTAACATAGAACAAAAAGGAAAACTTATTCTACATTGCAAGTCCAAGTTCCGAGTTCAAACCCCTTTCAGTGGGTTCCCGCAACCACACTGCTATGTAAACCAAGCAGAAAAGTCAAATTAACAGGAAAAAGATTAAATTCAGTTGTGTTTGTCATACAATGAGATGCCATCTCATGTTACACGAGCACTTAGGATTTTTTTCTAATTCATTCTACCATCTCTAGGTATATGGGGGCAAGTTGGAAGAAGAAAAATCAAGTTTGAGAACCTCAAGAAAGAATGTTTTTTAGTTAAGACAACAGACTAGGATTCAAGGAAAGACTGTTCCTAACCCCTGGCTCTAGCACACTTTGCTACAGCAATACAGGAAACATTAATTTGTTCTCTGCATGTGTACTTAATGTCAAATATTTGTATTTGTTAAATTAACAAACTGCCTCAAAGAACATTTAATACAAAACAAGAAACTATCATTTAGCTTTTTGAAGACTAATATGATTGTGAGCACAGGGCCTTCAACACTGAGAAAGCGAGAAATATCAATATGTTTCATGCTACTGAAACATTTCATTAGACTCTTTGCTGTAGAACAGCAGTCTGTTTTATAGATGTAAACATAATCCTTGACTGTGTTGATAGTCAAAGTATGTGTCTTTTTCCATGCTTTACAGCAGTCTGGTCTATTTCAAAATATCAGGTATCCATATTTAATATTTAAATATCAATGAAAATAAAATTTATTTCTAAGCTGTAAGTTTTTACATACCTCTTCAGCTTTCTGAGTTTCCACACATTTATCCAAGTAGATTCCCTGAAGAACAGATCCCACAATAGTCAGCCCTTTACCAGCCTTCAATTGAGAGGTGAAAGAAAGCAGTCGAGGATGCTTTACTAACTGTTCAGAATCCAGATTTAACAAGACCAAGACTTGAGGTCTGCAAAACACAAAACGGAAAACCCAACACACCTATATATCTACATATACTTGGATATTTGCTTACGTATGAAGTAGCAGGAAAACTGAAAAAAATGAAACACATAATAACACACAAAACCTCTGCTTGACAGTTGAATGCTTGCCACTGAATCAAGTACTTAACGATTCTATGATTCTATTGCAGATTAAGGTTGGAAGGGACCTCTAGAGGTCATCTAGTCCAACCCCCCTGCACACACAGAGTCACCTAGAGCACGTGGCACAGGACTGCGTCCAGAGGAGGAGATCATAGCAACAGTACTTGGTTATTACCTACTTCAATATACTGCCTATGCTTCTGCTGACACAGGCCAGCAGCCCTTGGCACTGTCAGAGCACACTGAGGGCTTAGTATCCATCAGGAATCACAGGTCTTTTTCACCAGAGTTGCTCCTCAGCCCCTACTATAGTGGATTAGTGTCTCCCAAGTACTGGCTTTTGCTTTTGTCCGTCTGTATTTTTAGAAGGACAGAAAGACTCGCTCGTCATTGCTGCTGTGAATACAGAAAGCTATACATAATCAAACATTAAAGTTCTCCATTTTAGAAAACTGTCATCACCACCTGCATTTAAGTTAGAGTTTATTTGACCCTAGAAGTCTGACAAAATCCTTTCAAAGCTGCTAACCAAACTTCAGCAACATTGAAAAAAAAAAAATTGTAAGATTGCAACAACGCTCCCGCTGTGCCCAAGTCCCAGTGTTATTTTAATGGAAAAAACTCACGGTAGCTATTAACTCTTCTAGGAGACTCACATCCTGTTATAATGGTGTGAACTTGAACAACCTAGAATTCTTACCTCCAGTTCTTGGTGTGAGGAGGGCCATCCTCAACGCGAAGCAAAGCGTAGCGAGCGGCATTCAAAGACAGGCCTCGGATCCCATCACCCCATTCTTTTTCCGCTCTTGGGGAGCGTGAGAAAAGAGATTCCGTTAACACATCCAGTTATTTAAGCTAATCACATACACTTTCTTATGGAGGGGATAAAGAGTATCAATAATGAACACTTCATGTGAATGCTTTGAAAAAAACTCATCTTCCATTTAAGCCATAGATGAAGGCTAACTAATCTGAAAGTTTCAGTTCCTTTCGAGATATATTCATTTGGTACTTCTGCTCTATTTAACTCATGCTCCATGGTTTTCCTGTAGTCATGAGAGCTACTTAAATAAGTGAAACATGACTTTCTCTGGACTTGGCTGCTGTATCTTCCTACCTCACCACGATACCATTTCAACTTCATTACCTCTAACCCTCTTTCAGAATTCACACTAAACAAGCCAAACTGCATTCCAAAGTTAAAGAATAAGGTGGATATTAAAACAGTCACTGACAGATACAGTCATATTTAGTTGTCCAAAATTAAAACAAAATTTGAGATGTTATGAAGCCAGCATCTTTTAGAGTTTTACTTTTTTTTGTGCTTAGCCAAATCAGCTCCTAAGCTTGAAGTTCTGCTCGTCTTTTAAAGGGGAGATGTGATGGCCAAGCTCCAACATTCAGTGTGCCAAGTTATACGTACATCCGAATTCCTACATATATATACATATCCAGAATTGTATCATGTATTTAGACTTTCTCACTAAAACAGGCAAGAGAATTTCCTTGTACTGAAACCAGCAATTGCAACTACATAAAAAAATATATCTAGAAAAGCACCTCATATGCAGATGATGAATCCACAGTGTGGAGTAGCTTGCAGCATAACATTTACAGTTTAAGCATGGAATTAGAACTGTGCTTAATTATTTATCTGAACAGCTTGCCTAGCTTCCATCGCTTGCTCTTAGTTCATTTTTTTTTTTTTAAACTGTAGTAATTTTAGCATTGGGCATGGTATATACCATATTAATCAAAATCACCTCTAAATGTTCCTACTGATTAACTGACCATGCAGAGTCTCCTACTGCCTGGCATTTCTTCCTAGTGTGATTTGTATGTTATATGCATTTGACAATGGACACATACAAAGAGTATTTTGCAACTTAAAGATCATCTAATTTGCAGAAAAGAAAAAAAAAGAATGTTCATTGGGTGCTCTAGATCATTCATTATGGCTCATGCTAAAAAAACAAAAGGCCATGCAAAAGTGGGGTTTTAGTGTCTGGCACAAGTTAAGTAAAGCTTTGCAATAGTTTCTTCCTAACAAAGGTGGAATGTTTCTGAAAAGCATTATAAAAAAAAAATTAAAAAAGACACAAATACACAAACCCTGTGTTCAGGTAAGATTTTCCAGCCTTACTGTTATTTTGATTAGTTCAGGCTTTTAGGGATTGTGGAACAGAACTTCTAGAGAAATCAGACCCCACAAGCATATAATCCTTAAGAACAGAGATCGGATCTTACCTTGTTTCAAACAATACTTATTTCTATTACTTCATCTATGTTATATAAAAATGCTTTTTGCTGAATATTAAAGATATTAAATATAAAAATATGTGGTCTTACCCTCTATATTCTATGTATTTGTAAATACATCCTGCGATCAGCATGGCAACCAAAGCATAGTACCAAGAGCAAATGAACATCAAGGCAAGACATAAACTCATCCCCAGGAATGAAAGAGTCCTAAAAGAAACCATTTTTTTCCATTTTTTAAATATGCATGCAAATATTCTATAAAGTCACTTTCTTATTTAAGACAACTCCCAGAAAGGCCTCTCCTACCTTTAAAAGATATTTTATAGCTAATCTGTAACTAAAAATACATTATTCCAATTTCAATATATGAAGAGCTGCATTCTGAACCCTTGCGCGAAATACAATTGAATTAGACATAAATTTACTGCTTTTCTGAGTTCTGAAACTCTACCAAGTGTCCTCCAAGTAGGAGGAGTTTCAAAACAGGTTTCTATCACTTACCATTCTTTACAATTAAAGCTTAAAATTTCTCAAATAATGCACAAGATTAAACTAGACTTATGAATTATGTTTTCAACTTAGAGAAAGACTTATGCAAAAATAAAATAACACACAAGTAGTAGGATAAGAAAAGAAAAATCTTTAAGAGACTTTTAGAAAAAGAACTGCAGTGTAATCAAAAACAGTAAGAAAAGCATTTCCAGATTAATGTTCACATGTTTGTTTTGCCTGCTCTGTCAGGAGGAGGAAGGCCAGCTCAGAACTGCACATTTCTGGGACAACGTATAGTTATGTACTAGCTCCCATCACAACTGGCCTTCACCATACTGAAAGAGCATAGGCAAACTCAACTTCTGTTTGACTTCTAACTTGCTTCTTCCTTATCATATAGGTGCTGAGACCAAATGTATCTGTTGTTCTTCAATGAAATGCTATATAATTATAGTCTGAGGTCCTCAGAATAATTACATATACACGCACACAATATACATATGTATACACACATTCACACATTTTAAACATTCAGTAAAACTAAATAACTCTCTTATTGAGATGGTTGAACTCAAGCCACTTCCCAAGTACCCACTTGTCTGCTTCAATTACCGAAGACCTAAAATTATTTTCAGCTGAGTTGCATTTGAAATTAGTATGTGACCACATAATTACATAAAGAGCTAACTGATGTACATTAGAAACTTTTCTATACAAGTTTTTTTCTATACACCAAATCCTAAATACTCAAAAGAGTCAAATTCATGTTCATAAAAAATTTTTTTACAAATTCTATATACAAAAAGACAAATATCAATATCTTTCAGCTTCATTCTCCCATATTCAGAAGATCCCATGGCTTATGAGCAATATTAAATGTCACCCTGTAAGCCCCTTCCCAACCTCCTACATGCATTTCCCTCTTCTAAACTACTACCAATTCCATTCCAAACACATGGACATAAATGTTGCTGTTAAAGTATTCAGTACAGAAACCACCTTTTAACTTTTTCAAGTCAGAAAGGAGGTTTTGTTACTGCAACAAAATCAACTAGTCAAGGCTGCATAATCAGCTTTAACATTTCTGAATGAAAGAATCTGCCCTACCAATGGTAATACTTGAAACGAGGTCTCCAGTTGGGAGTCCGTAGGAGAGTCTGCACTGCACAAGCCAGATTTACAAACATATAGCACATAAGGAAAAACCTGTCAAGAGAAAAAAACACAAAATATTAGTTTTCGGATAGGAAATGAGCTAGACAGACTTTAAGTGCAGCCCATAAACAGAATGGAAATTTTCATACAATGTCCACATTAGCCAACAAAACACAAGATCTAGGTTAAATCAATGCTTCTAAAATATTAAACCATCTCAAAACAAGATACTAGAGCAACATCAATTCTCAAAATTTTCAGAGAAAACCTAACAATGATTATCACCAAATAACCTCGACATTTGACACAAGACATTTATTTTCAGCCTAGTTCAAGCTAAATCTATTCAGACATTGCATACAATAGTGAAATACCCAACACACACACACACACACACACCCCTTGATAGACTGCTACACTGCAACAGCCCTTGCTTGTTCAGGTATCACACCAGTTTCTTTCCAGAAACTATGAAATAGTATCCAGGCAGCACTTTTGAAAAAGCAAGCCCTATATCCTTTAAGTTTAACCCGTATTCTTGTTGGTGCCATGCATGACTGAAGCTAGCTGAAGTAAAGGTTGCCCCAATCAAGAAACCTACAGGACTTGCAGACAGGCAATTTCCATTTCTTATCCATCAGTTTTTATAACACTTTTTTTCTCTCTCCGTACTTTACTCTAAATGAAATTGAAAAATGTCTGATAAGAGTTCTACTCTTTGAAAAGCGTAGAAATACTAGCATGGGAAAGCAATTTTCATATATAAAATTAGTTTAAAAAACAGAATTGATTAAAGTTGGCTGAATGTTAGATACTATACTTTTCCCTGCAGCATTAAAATGCCATTTAAGTGTTAATGACTTTTCTAAGACTAAGTTATAGACTTATAGTGTTAATATATTTCTATCATGCATGAACTTGTATTAAGCATTAATCCAAAGCAAAGCTTTTTCAGATTAGAAGGACAAAACCTAGCATGCATTATCTCAAAGAAAAAAAAAAATCTAATTAATATATTATTTGTCTTAAAGGAAGGTGAAACAGCACATCCATACTTACATTGAAAGAATTGGTGCTACACTGTCCAAAGAGGCTATCAGAATTCCTATCTCACAGATACCAGCAGTGAGGAGTAGAGCCCACGTTGGCTCTCCATTTGCTTTTCCATGACCAAATACCTAGTTCAAACAAATGGTAAAGTTAGGGAAAGCTGTTCAGTATGCAGTTGTGAAACCATCGTGCAGATTGTGAACTAGCTCTAACTGGAATCAAATATAGTCATTTATTAGAAAGGGGAGTAATGAATCTACACAAAGAATATAGATGAAGTTGGAGAACAAAATGCATTTCCAATATGAAAAATACTGGCTTAAATAAAAAGTTACTATACAACATTGAAGACATTCTGCAGTGGTTGTTCAAACAAAGTCTAAAGTCCACACGCACATGCTGAGTTTGAGAAACGTCTCTTAATTCTGTTCCCAAAATATGAACACCTGGACTTTGAGTAGCTACGAATATTTGAACTTGTTTTTGATAGGTTATCACTGGGCTGTGCAACTGTCTCTTCATAGTTTTGAGACAGACATTCAATGAACTCTAAACTTCATTGCAAAAGCAAAGAAACTTTAGAGGAGTCTGCAAGTTAAGAGTCATTACACTGTTGCATCTTTCTTCACCTCAGCTTACAAAATGAATTCATATTTGAATTGTAGCTCTGTGACACAAAAGGTTAAGTATTTTTGGAGTTCCATAACAAGATCAAAACAACACAGTTCAAACTGTCAACACAGCCTTGAGTCAAGAAGTTCAGCTGCCAGCTGTTTCCTAGCTTGTTCATTTCCACCTACAGAAGAATTTATGACTATCTTTATTTTCAGTTTTGAACCTCTAGCTCTGATATGTAAGAATAAAGACAATAAAATTGCAAAAACACAAGTTCAGGCTTTGTCCTGCAATAACTTGATCCGTTTTGTACACATGAAAACAGAGCTCCAAGTCTTTCTTGCAGCTCTACAGGGAAAGCAGATATAATGTCTCATCTTTGTCAAAATGCAAAACACATCTGAAGTACTGAACAAACCCCAAACACCCACTTGAATAAACGGTACGATGCCATCCCGCGCAATGGCCTGCAAGAGGCGGGGCGCGCCCGTGAGGCTCTGGAGACCAGCACCGCATGTGGAGAAGAACGAGCCGATCACAATCACCCACGGAGAAGGCCAGGCCAGCGTACCAACCACTAGGTTTCCATTAACTGCTTCTCCAAACCTTAGGGAAGAGGAAAAAAAAAATACCCATAAAAGCAGTAAGTACTAAAATAGCTTTAGCTTCTACTACAGTATCAACATCCACTTCTCTGCCCTTTTGGTAAACGGAACTATTCCCCAATAAACACCACATCACAGCACATGCTACAGTATTTTCCAGGAAACCAACTTCTCTTTATAAAGCTTTTAAGAAAACTTTTTATAAACTTCTGCCTCATAACTGCTGTCACGTATCTTGGCAGCCTTCACAGGATCATGGCACTAGCAAAAGACTTAAGTGCAGATTCTCCTGATCTTTGTGAATACGAGGAAGCAAGATTCAAAGGTCCGCTGGACAAGCCTGTTGGAGGTAAACCCAGGGGAACAAAACAGGAGAGCTGCAAAAATAAAAAATTACCCTTTCCTTTTAAATACGGTGACACTTTGACAGAAGGAAACAGAGAAGCTGCTAGATATGGCCATTCCAGGCTATCCCCACATGTCTCCAACCATCATGTCCCCTGATAAAATGGAGAAGAATGACTAATGGCCTCCAGGAGAAGTCAGGACACAGTGCTTTCATAATACAGCATTCCAGTGGGATTGTTCTTTAGATCTGTTTTATGTTCACTTACAGCTATTCCAGGTAAAGTATGAAAAATCACTTTTTAAAAAAGAAATCTTGTTCAAAAATCCTGTATGTGCCCAAAGCTTGGGTGCACAGCTATGTACTTTTCTCAGTAGATGGGGAGAGGAAAAATACAGCCTTTAACTTGGAGGAGAGAGACATGCCATGCCTCTCTGATAGCACTTACACAGCTGGGCCCTCACTCTTGAGCGAAACTTCAGTGCCTTTTGTGCAATTAAAACATGCTGTAGAAACAGCTTGAAAGCTGAAAGTCTTCAAACAGTGAAAGACAAGATATTTTTTTCCCCCTACACACAGCACATATTATGGCACTCCCTACCAAAAAAAAAAAAAAAAGACAGTGCGAAACAACACAAGGCCCATAAATTTTACTAGCATCCTGGATTTCAGGCAGGCAAAAACAGGCAGCAGTACAAGGGAGAGAATATGGATGCAGTGCTCCTGCTCCAACACAGCCTGCTCTAGAGATGGGTCGCCTGCTTGCAAGAAGTTGTTTTTCCAGCAAATCTCTGATAAGTTACTTCAAGAAATGCAAGTTTACACAGATTAACGCAGAGCTATTACATAATTCAAAATTCACTTTCTGCTGTGTGTAGTACGCTTACTACAAAGAAAAATGACTTGGAAGCTGTTGCTGATGGAGCCCCACCACTTGCAAGTAAGAGTGATCCCCTGTACCTTATTGCATTATCTTAGATTGGAATACAGGTTTTCACTGCTTAACAGTTTTGCTTCTGCTCCGCAAGACCCCTGCCAGGCCTACAGATTGCCCGGGAATCTTCTCCGGCAGCTCTCAGACTCCACATCCCGCACTAATCCAAACTCTCGCCTTGATCGGCAGGAAAGGGAACACGACCATGGCAGGGAAGCAAAAGGGAAGCCTGCCCATGGATTGCCACAGCCCGGAGCAGCTCAGCTCGCAGGGTCACCCAAGTCTGGAGACTCTATGCGTGTGTACCCCGTTATATTTTATGCTCACCTGTAACACTTCATGCTGTGTCTTATACACCTTTAGCTTTCACCCATGTAATTGCCTAAGCCAACAGGAAAATTGATATTTGCAAAACAACCACAGCTAGTCATAGATGCAATAGAAATAAGCCTGGCTGTTTCAGTAGTGAATTGTTTCAGAATGAGATGTTTGGCAGGAAGACTGGAACACAGTCACAGAGAAACATAACCCAGGAGCACACATTCTTGAGGTAGAAGACAACTTACTTGTCTCTTAGTATCACACCTTCTATACAGGCACCAAAGAGTACTATGCAGGAGAGATCTATTGCTGAGACTGAAGGAAGATTACACTATATACAAACAGAAATAAACAAGTAAACATTTTATTATATAGAGTTTTCATATATACACTCACCCCCCTCAATAACCAAGTTCTTGTTTTAAAGCTTTTCTTTCTTCCTACTAAAGTTTTTTTTTGTTAGTTTTTGCTATGACAGTATTTATTCTACAATTCACTTCCAAAATACTGAAAGTCACCAGCTCATTCAGCTCATGCAGCAGAACATTATTTTCTCTTAGAGATTAGCATTAGCTCCTTCTAGGCACTGAAAGGTTAACAGTTTCTACCGAGGTGGCCATTTGCTTTGGGATGATTGCTGGTTACACCAAGTGTCCTAACGAAGCAGTCTGCTATCTGAAACACGATATCAAAAAGCCACTGTGTCACTTAACTAAAACCATCAATTGTTACCTGAAATTTGAAGCATTAATTGAAATATATATATATGTGTGTGTGTGTGTGTGTATATATAATTTAATTTCAGTTTAGGTTCAATACTATACTCAGGCAACGCAAAAGACTTCTCAAAGAAATACCTACGCTGACCTGTAGCAATATGCACAAGAGGCAGGAAAAAAAAAAAAGTTAAAACAAAGGATACAAATAAAAGATGTAGTTGCAATAGCCAAAATAGTTCCAGTAGGAATAGATTTCTGAGCATCCTTAAGATCTCCAGATCTGTTTGAACCTGCCATAATACCTTTAAAAAAAAAAAAAAAAAGACCAAATTTATAATTAAGTTGCTTTTTGATGTGTAAGTCAGATTAAACACACAATTCTCACACAATTCAACATGCATTCCCAGGCTATAGAAGTATATTAAATTTCTGCATAAATCCTCATTTTATACTTTTATTCAATTAAGAATTTTGGGTTAATACACACACACACACACACTCCACTCACTCACAAAAATGATGCTACAGGAAAACTTTTTTTCTCTAATTGAGAAATAGATAGATTACAGCAAAGTTTAAAAGTTCATGACATCTATGCCTCAAACTAACCAGGGGTCTAGCAACATTAGCCAGCATGCTCTAGTATACTCTTCCACAGAAGAGGCCATATGCCATGAGATGTGCGAGCAGTAAGCCGAATAATAAAAATAAAAGCAAAGAGAAAGGAGTACAAGAGAAAGGGTCAGAAGGTTGTTAGATTCAAGTAGGGGTGTGAGCCTACTTGAATCTAACAAGATAACAAAGGTATTTCCTAGCACACACCCCAGGAGGAGTGGAGAGATATCATACAATGATTGACCAATTCCGCCAGCTCCTTCCATTGTAAGAGGAACTCAGTCGAGCACCACATGATATATCAGTCTGGTAGGGCTTCATCAGGAGAAGTGAATAAAATAAATAAATAAATAAATCACAATACATAAAAATGGGGGAAGCTGAGATGAAGTGACACCTCCTCCTAATATCCTACTGGGAGATATTGTTGCAACTTTGCATCAGAATCCCTTCTCTTTACTCAAGATTATCATTATTTAAACTGGACTTCTGAAGAAAGTTTCCTCAGTTTGTGAGCAAGAATTCTGTGCGTCATTAATAAACGTTAACACACACCCACACAAAAATGTTTTCAGCTACAAACACATCCTCATTCATGAGGAAAAAAAAAGTTGGATTTACCTGTCACAGATGGGAAATAAATCCCCACCAGCATTGTGAAGTAGGTCATGATGTCTGTAAAAACATATGGGAGTCCGAGAACTTTTGCGTCTTCTGTTCCAGCAACTGATGGCTGACCTTTTTTCTCAACTATTGAGCCCATTTCTGAATAGGCACTCCACAGGTTATCTACAAGGAAGAAAGTGAGAACCACTGTCATTTCCTCATTTCAGACTCCTAAATAGTGAGAATCAATCTGAGGATTTTTCTTGTATACAGATGTCGAAAGTCCAACATTTTCTTATGAAAGCAGAAACACAACAGCCATCACCACCAATTGTAACTGATGGGTATTCCCACTGCATGCCACTAGAGATGCACTAGTGTCTTGGATGTGTCATATGAGACTCTTCCATTAATTAAAAATATTTAGTTATACAATTCAATTCTATTTACACAACACCCACTTATAACTGCCCAAATTACAGGCATATAATTATACGATCTCTACTGTTGTGCAAGCCAAAAAAGTGGTGGTCCAAATACAACACACTACGGATGCTGGTCTGATCAAGATGCATAGGTCAAAGAACTAGCAGCTTTTTTGGAAGTTGACACATGTTATTTGTATCCTTTAGCATAGTGAAAACATCCAAAGCTAATTCTACTATTTTAAAGTCAAACAAGTTTTCTTATTATGTGCTTGGAAACCAAAGTCCAAAAGTCCAAGATCAGTTTGCCACTGCTGATCAAAAAAGAGCTCTAGGGACTTGGCGTGAGGACTCAAGAGTTCCTTGTTTCTGATGCACAGAAGCGATACTGGCCAGACCACTTGGTTCCACATCTTTAGTTGTGGTTGTGTGAATAAAATGAATTTAGAGGTTGTGTGTGTGTGTTTTTTTTTTTTAAATAGAAAATCCTCTTCCCCTTTCAATATACATCACCAAGCTTTGCTACCCTGGTTTCCTAATTTTCACTTGGTTTCACTCATTTTCTAGAGGCAATGATCCAAGTGGAATGGGAAGCAAGGCTGAGGGAACAGGACTCATTTTCTACAAGAGCCCAGAACACTGTTAGGATCATAGGTTTCCCCTCCAGGTTCATTCATGGGTTGCTGAGGCTCCTCTAGTATTTTAGGACAAAGCAACTGTGCATCTATGTTGCTGAAGCACAATAGCATGCTGACACGAAGCAGAAGTGCTGCAGAAAGACATTTCTAGAACAGTTTTCTTATTGTTAGGGCTGCATTAATGAGAGATGTGTTAAAGCGTTCAGTAAATGGTGCGAGTACTCCAAAGCACCCAGGTAGGATATCTGAATACTCACAGCCACAGACAAGGCTTAAAAAAAAAAGTTAAGCACAGAGTCAGTAGCATCGAAGTCCTCACACACGAGGCTGAAGCTCAGTCCTCAGTGCAGCATAATCCTCCTTGAGGAACCTTTTGACAGGCGAGTTCAAACCCACATTAGAGGTGCTCACATGCGGCAAGCAGGACAGTACTCACTCAAGAATACCCTGAGACCCGAGCAAGTACTTAAGAGTTTACCTCAGGCTGCTGTGCTACACAGGGACTGAAACGCAACAAATGTTCAACTTTTTACAGGAGTTCCAGAGAAATAAGGAAACTAAACGGCTCACAAGTACCATCTGCACGTGGCCAACTTATAACAATAGCACTGAATAGAAGGTTGGGTATTACTGCATAACAAACATTGGTATCAGCTCCAAATTCAGGCAAAACTGGCATCTATTTACACAGCAAGAAGTTCTGAGAAACTGGGGAAGTCTTACATTGCTTCTACAAAAGAAAATAGTTGTCAAAAGCAATCAATTATTTCAGGGAAACAAATGAAGGAGATTGCTTAGTTTATTCCACCCTAATTTCCAATGCTTTTGGCAGCTTCCTTGGGTAAAGAAACTTGAGTAGCTGTGGGGTGCATGATGAGATAAATGTACGTTTAGTTTTACAGTACAGCAGATACCACCAGTAAGCTTCTGCAAAAGCAGTCACAAAGCAGCCTGCAAAAAAGCAAGTGGCAAGACAAAAAGCTTGCTGGTATTACACACTTTAAGGTTTTAGAAGCAACCTTGAAGGATCAGCTGCAGAAAAGGAGAAAAAAATACAGTACACATGGCTCAAGAACGAGCAAAAATAAAAAATAAAATAAAATTCGCGGTAGATAAGACTTACCAATGAGAACTCCACTCGTTACTCCTGGAATCCCTTGAATTTCTGTCACGTTGTTGAGAACAAAGTAGTCATCACATGTGGCATTGAGCAATGAGCTATCACAGAAGAGACGCCACAGCCTCGTAGTCTTTGTTTCATTATTGCTTTCAATAAACTTGGCACAGACATCAAAGTTGTTTTTTGACAGGGTACGGTTCCCAAGAAGACAGATACTACAAGACAAAACCATACAAAAGTGAAGCCTTCAACAGAACATTGCACATCAGGCCTTTCTTTGCTCCAGAAGTTGTGGGCTATACAACATTTACAGCATGGAATTTCTTATATATTATTGTACATAATAGCAGTAATGTTTAAAACATTTCTGCTTTGTTCAGAGTATTGACAGTATGATTCATTCCTCAAAGACATGATCAATTCAAGCAGGTTGGCCACTAAAATAATGAAGACCACAATACATGCATTTTCACAAGTCTAGGCATGACACACCAAACAAGTGGCGCTGAATAACGAGAACATTTTAAGGTAACAAGAGTCTAAATAAATAAGTCCAAAAATAACGTTAAGTAAATGCATTAAGTAAGCATCATAACCTTTTCCAGGAAAATAAACATTTTAGAAGGTCTTCAGAAGTATTAAAAACCCAGAAGAGAAGAAATAAATCCACACACACCCCCGCCTCGTATTCCACATATTCATAGCATGAAGCAATTAATAAACTAGATGGAAAAAAAAAAAAAAAAAAAAAAAAAAAAACTAGAAAACTCTGAATGCTTTGCAAAAAGAAAATGCTGGATAGCAAAGAGGACAAGCAACCTGGAAACCATATTTCTTTGCCAAAGTCTTCACCACAAGAGGTGTTTCCAAGAGCTATCTACTCCAGACTGGCTTGATAACAAAATGCTAGAGCACTTAAAGATGAAAAAGGCACCAATAAAATATCCACTTTAGGCAATACACACATACTAAGCACCTAAGTTGTGAGGGAGCTCTGTTAGGAAGCTTGTGGCAAGCAACATCAACACAGCACTTATCACTGTGAATCTCTAAACCAGGCAGAACATGGACCTAGCACAACATCCTGTTTCTGAGAGCCATCAACCACAAAACTGTATGGGCACAGGGGAAACAAAGAAATATTTCTTCTGAACACTAAACTGCTGAGCATTTGGGACTCAGGAACTTCCTCATCCAAAAACAGCATCTTTATTCAACAGATTTTATCATCTCCATGAAGTTGCTGGCACTTTCTGATCTGTCAAACCTCAGGCAACTAAAACATCCTTCGGTAAGAAGCTCCACAGCTTAACTATTTATTCTACAAAGAATAATCTGCTTTTGTGCTGGTGCTGCCACTTTCTACTTCTGTCTCCAGGAAAACACCAGGAGTTGAGGAGTTGTTCCCCAGCTACATTTTCCGAAACAGCCACTCTGTAGATCCCAGCTGTGCCGGCCACCTTTCCCAGATGGGGGAGCCCCTGCCTGAGTTATTTTTCATAGTGAAGTGCATTACCTCAGATCATCCCTAACACCCACTTCCTGTTCTTTAAGCGCGAATGAAATAACCATCACTAATCTTAACCAAAGACTGTTTTCCAGATTGTCACAGGTCTTATGAACGGTTAGATGGAGATTCAAAGCAGTATTTCAGAAGAACAAAAAAGGATGCAAGTGCCCAGTAACTTGTAAAGCCTGTAATGTGAATAACAGGAAGCCTATCACTGAAGCCATTATTTCTATATTTCAAAATTAAGCTTAAAATATACTTATAGTTTTTTTTTCTTCTGTTTTTTTTTTTTTTTTAATACCTCTTTAAATACTATACATTATTTCACTTACGGAAAATCAGGCGGGTCAAAAGCAGTCTTAATAACTCCTGCATATATGGCAATGATGGAGAGAATGACACAGGCAAGGAAGACCAGGGCAAGTTTGTTGACATACTTGACTCCTACAAAGACCACGATGGCCATCAGAATGATGATGCACGTTCCATAAACTCTCATGTTGTTCAGCATAGCCGCAGGTTCATCACTGACCTCTTCAGCTTTAAATATAGCAGCACTGGGCGAGATGTACTTCTGCAAGAGAGAAAGCAATCTGAAAGCTATCATAAGGGTAAGAATGAGCACTATGCGGAGAACCAAGCTCCCACGAACTTTAAAATCGTAGCTTCTATTACAGCATCAGCAGCTTTACTCTTTCAAATAAAGATTCACCAAATAAAGATTATCCAAACATGGATATCTTCACAGAGAAGAAAGAGCATTTTATTTGTTTCTGCAAATAGCCTCATACAGCTCCTGCACCACAAAACAGAGTTACTTCCAAGATTTTTTTGCTGTTAGAGAGCTATTACACCATGGATTCTTTTAAAGTAGCCATGAAGCTTTAATGGTATATCCTTTCTGTTATCTACCTCCCTATAGCCCTGTAAAAAAGATTAGTTTGAAAACTATTCGATATTCAAAGTGACCTTCTCAGCAAAAAAATAAAGAATAAAAGAAGAAAATAAAGAATAAAGCAGAATAAAAGTGACTGAGACAGAGGAGGTAAAGGAATGAGAATGGGCCCTCCCCTGAGAAACTGTATCTTGGGAGATGATATATACACACATAAATACATAAATATATATGCACACATATGTGTATGGGAAAGTCTGCATGAGCACCACCTGCACAGAGCCTCAGATCAGGAGAGTGAGTAAAGCTCACAAGTTTTTAAAAGCTGTTGCTTAAGATCATTATGGTCAATATGATTTGACATTTTATGCAAGAAAAAAAAAATAAAGCTCAACAGAAACCTTTATATCCTTATACTATATCAACCACCTAATGAGTTTTTAGGGATTATCCCTCCTTCCAACATAACTGCCCTTAAGAATTAGTACACCAACAATAGCTTTAGTTATTTCTAATTCTCCATGAAAACTGCAGCAACTCCAAGTGGTTTTCCATATCATGGGTTCAGACTCTAAAGAGGAGTTTGAAGCTACTGCGGTGTGGCATTAAAGGACCATTCTGTGAAATGGCTGTGCTGAAAGTCTTGCAAAGAATATCAGCTCACTCAGAGCAGATACATCCCCTAAGTCATTTGAAGCATTTACTCATTAACAGGCCCATTAAGCAATCATGAGTAATTTCAGAGAAACATAAGCAGCACTAGGTTTTCAATACTATGTGCCCTTTGGTATAGTTAAATTCAAGTAATGTATCATAAATTTATCAGCACTTAAGACAATTAATAGTGGGTTTACCTTAATTTGACAGAGATTAGTCCTCTAACCTAAGCAATTGTACTATTACAGCTTTAGATCATGACAAGGGTCTGTTCTGATATCTTCTATACAAGATGAGGCCTGGGATTTAGGAGAAGGAGGGGCTCTGAGTACATTAGTTGAACCCAGCACACATTTAGTAGTGATCCCACCACGGCTGGCAGTTACGAGAAATATCTCCTCTGGCATCTTCACAGGACCCTGAAATTTCAGAATCAGCCTGAAAAGATGACAGCGAGATGGATTCCTAATTCCTGGCTCACAGGGAGATCGCGAAGGGCGCATCTCCCTACTCAGTACTGGGCAGCAACTTCTCCCGCTGCAGATGACAGTGCCAAGCACAGCAGAGCTGAGTTCTGTATGGTTTTCTGGGAAGCCTAATCTGATACCAAGTCCACAGATTCTCCTCGGAAGGAAACAGAGGTGTCTTTCCAGACCTTAGGCAAGCTTGACATAAAAGGACTTCGGCATGGATACCCAGTGTAAGCACCTGTCCAAGGAAAGTGTAAAGCTCTCTAGATGCGTTCGCTGCTTATTATGGTGTGGTTGCCATCCGAACAGGTTTTATATCCCATAGTTCTGACAATATCCCATAACTATGACAATGAAATCGAAAATTAACTCCAGGAACAGAAGGAATCATGCCTAGAGGCCCAGAGCTTGGGACAAAAGATACAAAATATATTTTGAGAAGCTACAACAAAGACAAAAATAGAGATGTTAAGAGACAAAGAATGGGTAATGGCAAGAAGTCTGTATCCTCCTTAAGCCTCATGAGAGAGCAAGGGAAATGGAAAAAGGAAACAAAATCTCTTGTACTAAACAAAAGAAAAGCATTAAAAACAACACCAACACCACACTTCAGAAGTGAATGGAACCTCCAAAGAAAGAAGGGAAAGGGACTCTTAAGAAGTCAACTTTAGCCTTTCAATGATAAGTCTAAGCTGACTTAAAAGAAACGTCAGCCATCTTTACATTGTGCATTTGGGAAAGGAGAGGGAGAATCAACAAAAAAGCAGCAGCATCCATAGATGCTGCTTTCACAAGACTTCACACCATCTTACAAGAACATGCGCAGATAGACATTTAAGGAAGAAACTGACTACCTTCCATTTGTAAAATAAACTACTTTTTACAGAATACCCAAATTTCTATCACTAAATCCAAAAGAAATTCTCTGAGGGCCTGAGAGTGCACTGTCACCACAGATTTTAACGCTGTAATCTAACGTGACATTTTATTAGGGATTCACTATAGCCTGTGCTGTGCTTTCTCATTTTTATACAAGAGCTGATTTTCCAAGTGCTATAAAAATCACAGAATTAAATCTGAACATGTCTCCAATCACAAAAGGTTGATCTGAGTAATAGTGGTGTTATCTGGAGAAAAGTATTTTCTATTTACTTCTCATCTCCAATTTATTCTGAATGGTAGGAAAAAGGGGGAAAAAAACCTACAGAAAAGAAACTTAGGATATATAAGGAACATCCTCCTTGAACACTGGAAATCCAGAAAGCAAACAGTTTACAGCTGCACTCATGTTTGCTGGCTTACAGCAGTATTGTTAGTACTCTTTGGCCGTTGGGTTTTCCCACACACAGACTACATATTGTAGCCTAGTCCTAGCAACACAGAAAGAGCAAGGGACTGCTTCCTTCCTCCTCCTAGCTCCAAAACTCCAAACCCAAACACAACTTATTAGAATTAGTTTAGTTTTCTTACAACCACATAGGTGCACCACAGACAAGGCAGTCTGTGGGACCCTTAGTATACTCAAAAAACACAGTCACAACCATTGCATTTGGAACAAGTAGTGAAGAAGATCAGTTAAAATAAAGACCCAACATAATTCAGTAAGTAGAACAAAGTAATATCAAGCTGGCCATCAATTTGTCTTTATATTGAAGAACACAAATTTAGTGAACTTTTTCAAGTAATCCAAAATGGAATAAAAACATTGACATACTCTAAATATAGCAACAAAGCATAAAAAAAAAATCTAGAACACTTCATGCATTGTAGGCCACGTGCATTGCTCTGTATTTGTGCTGTCTTGGAAAGCTACGTTCAGTTTTGAAGAGAAAACAGTACTTACCAATAGAATTTCAATGGTGCCGAGAATGTACATTGCACCTGCAAACGTTGTACCCAAGTAGAAACAAAGTCCCACTGCTCCACCAAACTCTGGTCCTAAAGATCTTGAAATCATGTAGTAAGAGCCTCCAGCTGCAAATTTAGCCAACCCCCAAGGAAGAGAAAAACAAACCAACAAAATTAGTCTCCAGGTGTTCAGAATAATGGCAGTGATGCTGAACAAAGACTCGAGACATTCAGTTAACCTGGTCACACAGCTGAGATAACCCTTTGCTGAAAACCCTCGTGCTGAGGTTCCTACCAGGCCAGCATTTGGGCTCTACAGCAGTGAGGCAGTTTGAAATGTGCAATCGAAGTGTCTCTCCCCAGGGGCATTTCAAGGAAAAGAGTGTTTTCAAAACAAACATCACTTGCTTCCTAAACACCCATAACATTCCTTGCATCCATCACAAATAAAATCGGTAAAGCAACAGGGTTGCTTAGCTTATTTGCCCAACACAAAGTTAATATAATAAACAATGAGAATAAAACAAGCAAAATTAAAACATACTTATCATACCATCAGGAATCATTTCTTAATATAAGCTAAATACTAAATTGGCAAATATTAAAGAGTAGACTTTCACAGTGTTTTTCCCGGATTATGCAATTAATTCTACGTATACCAAAGCAGAGGACAACTTCCAGTCCCATAAGATAGTTTCCCCCTCTAACTGCTATCCAAATTCTAATTCAAGAGGCAGAAAGAAGAGGCATTTGTGAAATACTTCAAAAGACATGAAAGATGCCTAAAATCTGTGATGTTTTCCAGAGGTAAGAAAAAGATAGTTAGGGCACAGTCAGACACAACTTATGCTTAACTGGAAAAAAAAAAAAAAACAGGAAAAAGCATTTGAACAGCAGCATATTAATTTTAGAACACTCAGCAAAATGAGTGCAAAGTGCTTCTTTGTCCTCAAACTGTTAACAACAACAACAAAGCCATGAGAGTTTCCAAAGAAACTGGGAGATAAATCTCTTTTCCATGGGCTGGATTATACCCAATAAGAGGTGAAGGGGAGGCTTCTAACAAGAAACCTTGGAAAGTATCTGAAAGAAGATCTCTGACAGAGTATACACCACCCTAACAACAAGTTTTTGATGCTCACTCAAAAACTTAGACAAAAAATACCAACAAAAAGCCATCCTGTTATTAACAGAGACCTGAAGATGACAGATGATGTCCAGCAAGTCCGAACACGATGAGAAGTTTCACTGCAAGCCTGGGAGCCAGTGCTGATGGGCAGTAGTGAGGGCACGATGCCAAAACAAACAAAATCCCAGCAAGAACAGTTGGGACCACAGTAGTTCTTTGGTACACACAAGCCTCAAAAGCAGCATGAGAAAAATCAAACTAATTTATAAAAGAAAACAAACAAAAAACCCAAGACGACACACACAGATTCCTAGTTAACAGTTTTAAAGCATTTCCATCTGTGATCAGTCTTTTTAAAGACTTAAAAAAAAAAATCAAGGTTACTTGTCATACAGAATCTAAATATGCTATTCTGAAACATTTCACTACTGAAGCGAGGTCACTTAGCCCATGTCATCATGTCATTAATCGACAGTCAATAATCTAACCAAAAAAGCAATTTATAGATGAATGCTCAATAAAACCAGAAGGAACTAGATGATGGCTATCTAGTCAAGCCTCCTGGTCTACACAAGGCTTAAAGCTTTCCCGAATGAAGCAGGTTTTTCCAGATAATCTCTTGCAAAACAAAAGGACGAGAAAGGAAGTTGAATGTTGATGTCATTTACCAAAGACTCCTTCCCCCTATCCCACCTTTCACCCTTCATTAAAGTCAGTGATATAACAGATGCATCTGTAACATAAAATGTATTAGACACCCAGGACATGTGCATTACTACCATTGATTTTCACTTCTTAAGTTTACAAAGCAACAGAATGACTGGTAGAATTCAGTAAAAATTAACTCTGCAGGAAAAAATTAATTCCATAGTGATAATAAGAGACCAGAGTGGAAAAACCAGAGGGGCAGAGTTCTCCACTAAACCAACAGTTCAGAGACCCTTAACCTGTTTAGCCTGCCAACACACAGGCAGAGAGGGGATAAAACTGAACTGATCTGCATGAACACAGTGCACAAGGGGCAAGCAATAAAGAGTGAGAAAATAAAGAAGTTAAAGGTAAATCATCCAAAAGGTATTAATAACATGTAGGCATGAACCAATCTGTAACAATCTTTACTTTCCAGCCGTAAGCTGTTCATGATCAAATAACAACCTTCTAAAATAACTTTCCAATGAGGTGATGGAGATAAAATGTGATTTGCCTCCCTAACATGCATTCTTTTTCTTTTCTGGGCATGAAACCTTTGCTGCTTTCATTACAGGCTCTTTTAAATCCAGTATGCCTTTTCTCATCCACTGATATATGTTCATTTGGTCCTGACTTTTTATGTTGTTGTTGTTATCTCCCATTTTGATTTTTTTTTTTTTTAATAATCTTGTACTCAGCTGGGAATCTCTATAAATGAATATGAATTTATTTAATGTGTCTTTTGAAAACTTTGATAGGTAAATTGCTCACAGTTTATAGCACCATCTGAGCTCTGGTATTTTTGATTAAGATATTAAAAAAAAAAGGAAGAGACTGGAAGAGCTACAAGACCTAACTCGCATCCAAAAAGTCAGCTTTATAATTGAAACAGAACAACTATTTAGTTTATGCTGAAGAAGTCAAGGAGATGAACAATATCTAGAGTGCTAATACGGAAAAGTTTTCTGCCAGCAGGCTGCTTGTTGTTCTTGTAGAAAACAATGGAACTGCTTCCATTGTTCAAAAATGGCAGCTCAGCAAAGTCTGGCAATAAAGGTCCTATTTGTAAATTTGGAAAGAAATCTACTTTGCATTAAGACAAATCTCCATTTGTTCAAATGGAAACATGCGACTGATGACAAAAATATGTTCTGTGGCCTGTATTTCCCTAAAGGTCCATTTGGAAGATTACAACTCGCCTTAGAAAAATCCATTCTAAAAAGAGATCAAAACATTTAGTACTTTAAATGGATTGCCAAATATTCCTTTTTAATATCTAAGAAATTCATATCAGATTCAACCACGCATCATTAGTTTACATTTAAGATAAAAAAAAAAAAAAAAGCTTACCTGGAACTACACCATTTGTTGCTATTGCACTCATGGAAATTGCGGTTAGCATAGTCTGTGTAAGGAACAGAAATTAACAGATTAGGTGCTCTTTGAAAAGTGGTACAGGAGAAGTGATCAAAGCAAACTAGGAAATAAGAGATCTTTGTATAAACTGTTGCAGCAGCCAAAACTGAAAACATCCTGGGCTAAGGGATTGCCAGATAAATCAAGCATTGTGTCTTCCACTGAAGAATTTAGTTAGTTTAAACGTTTGAGATGGATGTCTTCTGAAGTCAATCCCTCTCAGTTACACTGATATTTAACCATTAAGGAGAAACCCTGCCCTGCTACCCCTATGAGCAAACTGAGCGGTCCCATGATAACAGAAGATCTGGCTAAATAGTCAAGAATATGATCAACTTACACAAGCACAACACATGAACACGATGATGAATGACTCGAGAACTCCAGCTGTGCCCACAATCCACGTGAGGCGCAAGAAAAGGATGACTCCAAGGATGTTCTGCAGGCAGGGCAGGTACACCCCAATGAAAGTGCCCATACGTGGGACCTGCAAAGACACAACATTAACTCCTTGGCACTAAAGGACTAGGGTCTGCATGCATTGCCTACAGTAAACCCACAAAGACTTAATCACAAGTGTTTCCCTAAAAAAAAGGCCAGGCTGGCCTTACCAAGCTTGGATGGGAGCTTCAGCGTTTCCTGTTTCACAGAAATTCAGAGGCTATTTAAATGGAAAGGATCCCAAGGGGACAGAGAACTGTGACAGCCAGACTTGTGACAGCAATTTATTGTTGCAAAAGCTGCAGAAAGTGCTGCAAGATAGAATTTTTGTTAGTACTTTATTAGCTGTGACGAACGTGGATCAAAACACATGCGCACACACACAAAAAGCATGCAGGCTCCCTCATTAAAATTCCAGCTTCCTTCCTTCTACAATTTAGGAACATCAGGTCTCCTCTCTATTTAGAAACAATAACCGCACACAGCAGGTGTCCAGTTACAGACGTTATTCTTAACTCAGGCCCTGGAGGGGGGAAAGGGGAAAAAAAGCAGCCAATATAAATCACTATGCAAACCTGGACGCTTTATGTATTTAAATAATCCACCCAAGCATTTATTTTATATATTTATATATATATAAAAGTACCCAAGGAATATCACGGACTTGATTTTTATTATTGAGGAGGACAGTGTCTACATGCAACATCAACGCTACTGTCAGACTGAGACAACAATCTTTAAGAGACAGCAGGATTACTTTGAAGCGTTTATATTGGGGAAGTTAAAATGTAAAACAAAGTACAAACATAAAAGGCTACAAACACATTAGTGGTTTGCTTATTATAGGAAATGAAGCTTAATTTCACACTGGTATTTCTGCTAAAAAACAAACACGCACACCACACACAGCGCTATTCTAGAAAAACGGGGAAGTATTTCTTCCACAAATTTCACAAAAAGAATCCTGGTAATCTCCTGTAACTTTAAATTGCAGCAAACCGGGTTTCACAGTGAAGAAATTTTAAACTCTAATAAGTTTTTACTTTGCCTGCTTTGAGAACTGCAAATCAACCACATTGGAAAGGGGCTTCACAATTAGGGGCTTCCCCAATTCCCTATCTCGGCATAAATTGTCACCATTCCCTATCTCAGCATGAATTGTCACTCATTTACACCAAACCCTATTATTTGTGCTCCTTTCTCTGAGGTATAATGATGAGAAGCAGACAAGTGGTGCCAGAAGAGAAAGAGCTTGATGATTTTCACAATTACAATGTTGTTATAATAATTCCCATCCCCCATCTTACATACTGGAGCATCCTACAGCTTCCATACTGGAAATGGCCTTCTCCCCCCTCCAATCCCACAAAACTTCCTAGAATCTGCTCTAGAATTCCTCAGTCAAAAGCTAAAAAGCATGACCAGTTGGCACTGTCCTATATCTGCTCTTCCATCCCCTCTCACAGTGCCCATGCCCAGCCCTGGCAGGACCTACTGAAATCAACTCATAGAAAGGGTGGGAGGTCAAACAACTCTCAAAGTCTCATTCTAGATTATACCCATAGCTGCAGGCATTGCCACTTGAGCTGTCACCTTTGCCGTGTCCCACATGGAGCTGCTAGTTCAGCAGTCATCAGGATTACTAGCTTCTTACTTTTTGGTGTTTAATAGGTCAGCTCTACTTTCAAACACCATGCATCTTAAGCCAGTTCTCAGAAGCTTTAAATCTTTTCACTGTGTGCTACTCCTCATGCTTGTCCTTAGAGCTTCCTATTCTCACTTTCAGTTTCGCTGATGTCAGATCTTTCTGTTCCAGCATCATTATGACCCATTCTTCAGGTGATCTATTATCTTATCCTTTCCAAAAAGTAGTGCTATAGCTACATGAGGATGAAGAGCCTTTGAGTTTGTTACTAAGCAAGGAGAATTTTATTAGCAAGCACAGGTAAACCACACTTTGCAGAGAGCAAAACCTTCTCCCCCAGAAAATGATGTATTTTCCCCCCCACCCACACGATGGCATGTGATTGCAGTTCCAGAAGACTGGAAGAAAACTAGTTTTATACCAGCTGCTTCAGGAAATTGTGAAATGGCCTAAGTAACTAGAGATTTTCTGGTATTAATACTAGACTGATAATAAGAAAGTATTAAAAAGGTATTAATGCAAATTAAAAGTTATTTTAAGACAAGAATCTCTCATCAAACCAATCTTATTCCATTACTTACTAAATCCAGTTACTATTCGTTTTGCATTTTTAAGTTTCGCGCATACCGCACATGTAGGTCTTTACAAAGGTTTTTATTTGCACAATGATAAAAAAGTGTAGCTTACAGTATCAAAAGAACAAGTAAACCAAAAATCCCCCCACCTCCAAAAAAAGTCAGTTTTAATAACAGCACAAGCTGTTATCAACCAATCAAATGGAAACACAAGTACCAAGATTTAGTGATGAAAAACAGACTTAGTATTTCATTTCAAGAAAAGAAAAAAAAAAAATCTAGAATCAGACAAAAACTGTCAATCTTTTCAAAGTACAGAGATTTCTCTTACAATCAGAGTGAGACACAGCAATCTTGCAAGCCAATCTTATTGCTTGGTAGTTTAGACTCCAAAAAAGTGCTTCCTAGTCTACCAAAATGCCTTTACAAACAAAATGTCTTGTTCTTGATTATGCAAGTAAAACTCCCCACTTCATTGCATAGGAAAACTGCTACTACCACATAGTAGGAATATTACTGTCTCCTTGCAGGCCGCTCACTCATCCTGGAGAACCCAGGTGTGGCCACAAAGCTCCTTCGCCCTAGGCCATTTCCAACAAGTGGGACAGTCAAGATGCAACAACCTGTTTTCTTCTGTCCCCTTCAGGCTCTTAAAAATAACCCATGCCAAGAGGGGTGCAGTTATGCTTCCTCAAACACTGCTGTATGCACTTCACTGCCAGACTCCCCCTAGGGCATGTCACACACCAGCTTTCATGCCATTAAAAACATCACTCTGCTGCCACATAGCATTCACCTAACATCCAAAAATAAAAATTGCACAGAGAAATCATGCTGTCAGGCCAGCAGATGATGCTCAAGAGAGATAGAGTGCAAGGAACTACAGTGTTCATATGGGAGGAAGGGTCCAGAAGGATAAGCACGAAGCCACCCGAGCACCATCCCTGCGCACACCAGAGAACAAGGAATCACTCTGCAGAGCCTTTGTGCTGACATTATCAGATGCTAAGCTGAAGAAAGGAAAACAGCAGAAGCAAAAAGCTAGAACAGGTGGCTAGATTCCATTCACCACCTTGACCCAATGTCCAAATACCAACTCCCATGGCAGCAGGGTCTACTTTAAGATGGGAATCACAAGTTTCACCTTAAGGCAAGTAAGTTCCTGTTCTAGACTCACTTTCAGGGAAGTTTTCATACCCATCTCTTCGGTCCACTTCCTTCTATTCGTGCCAATTTACACTCCCTTTTCCCCACAATGAGGGAAGAGGTGTATACAAACACAGTGGCAACTCTTCCTTCCTCTACCCAAAGACAACTGACTTCCAGGCTTCTCTTCCCAGCATCTAGGCAGTACATCCACATCAGGTCCAGCCTATCATCATGTCACTCCTGCTCTGCCCAGCCTTAGTGCTTTTGATCCAGGCTTTTCCCTTTTGGGAACAGATCCATGTTTACCAAGGAACGAACCCACCATCCAGCTGCAGGCTCTAGACCTCTGTAGGAACAGAACATAAGCAGCTACCCAGTCACGAACAATTTTCGGAGATTGCTACTGTCTTCTAGCAAGTTCTTAAGGGTCACATGCCAAGCATCCTGTCCTTCCCAAACCAAGAGTCCTCCCTCTCTCTTGAAGACATATGCAACAAGGCATTTCCTTGAAATTCGGTCAACCTCCCAAACTTCAAATGCTCACTCCAATGTAATTTGCTCAGAAAACAGACTGCTAACAAATTAATGGGATCAAAAAATATGCAAATGCAGTTTAAGTGACTTGTTTTCCCTTAAGGGTCTTCAAATTTCAACTCAAGACAACACCCGACCATTAAAACATGTTAATAAAACATGGACCATATGGTATGCTCACTAAAGAGGGAAAGAAAAGTACTAAGCTCATACAAGGATAGAGGGATGAGCAAAAGAAGAGAAACCTCAGATATATGTATTGCTTGTTTCAGGCTTTAGTGTGTTTTAGCAAGTTCTTTGCCGTAAAGCTAAGAAGAACTATTATTTAAGATAAACTCTATTGTAAAGTACATTTTCAGTAAAACAGTATAAATCTCTCTGTTTTAAGCCATGCACGAACTTCCTTTAAAGGCTGCATAATGCTCCTGCTACAGTGGCTAGCCTTGTCACAATAACATACAAGTTTAAATACCTTGATTTCCTTTCGTTTGCTGTCTTCATCTGCTTCATGTTCCACCACACCTTGAGTCAGATTAGTGTAGTTTGCCAGTTTATTAAGAAGAGATGATACCATGGGGTTGCTATCCATTTCCTCCTGTTGGAATTTTAAGAATAATGTATTTTAGCCATTAATTTTTAGTTATGAATTTATGATACTATTTGAAACAAACACTAACAGAACAGCTCCAATTGACTCAAATACATAAATACGATAAAAAATACTAGTTAGCTCTCTTCAAAAAGACTTGTAATTCTTTCTAGAAGTTTAATGGAAAATGGCTATATTGCCATGTTTTAACTGTTTGACTGTTTAACCAACTGTATCTACACCCAAAACAGATTCGTTGAGAATAATACAGAATAATTCATATATATTACTTGACACAAAAGATGTCAGCCTTTCCACCTTTAACCAAACACCTGCTACAAAGCATACTAACACAAATAAATAACCAAAAGGTTTCCAAGAAAAGCAGAACTAGAGAATTCCATCAAGTAGGCAAGATTAAGCACTGGAAGAAAGACAACAAATGTTTTACTATTTGTGATCCTGATAAGAATTAAGGCATTCATCTCTAAGGAATGCAATTTATTAGATCCTGATAATCATCAACTAAAAACATGTGAAGAGTAAAATTACAGGAAACATCACCAAAAGATTCACCCCCACAAAAGAAACGGTGATGAGGCCAAACTGGAAGGCTTTCAAGTGGGTGTTACGATAGGGTGGGCTGTAATCCAAGACATGTAAAAGATGGCCCTGATTACATCATCACGAGAGGATTTAACTTCAGTCAGTGCTCAAAATAACAGATGCAAGCACCTATTCAAATGGTATTATGAAAAAATGGGGGCAGGGGAAGCAGTTATGGCCAATTTAATCAACACTGAGGCATAAAACAGTTACTTTGAACACAGGTTCGGACATCTCTAAGAAATAAAGCTAAAAGAGAAGTCTCATGGCAAAACTTTATAGTATGATTTTTGTTAAAAAAAAAAAAGTAGATAATTAAAAACAGATGACGACCAGTGCTACTTTGATCCTTAGCACAATCTTCATCAAGACATGCCAAAAGTAGTAATGTGCATTATTTTGGGCATGCAGAAGAAAGGAACTGAAGGATCATATTCTCTGTGTAAAGATACATAGAAGGAAAAAGGAAGAGGTGAGACAGACAGGGGGCCAGAGAGTAGGATGCAAAACAACATGGAAAAAGCTTTATATAAACCTTGTTTATTGTTAGCAGCAGCCAAAGCTGATGCTGCTAAACATATGAAGCAGAACTACTCAAATTACTGAAGGAATGGTTTCATTATGTTACAGTAGCACTTAAACATACAATATCAATATACTTCTTTCCTTTAAATCACTGTAATTATTCACTGAATTAGGCATGCATTAAGCTTGCATTATAAATTAGATCTTTACATTCTGGGTGAGAATATAGCTATACACTAACTGAACACTATTAAGCCACAGCCTGTCATAGTTTCACTGCCCTAAGGAGTCTTTTTTCTTCCCCTTGATGAAGATAATATTCTCACTGATGATCATTAAAACTGGATACTGCTCTGTAACAACCACCAGATTTA